ACGTCAATTGACGTGCAAAATTAAACACTTGTTTTACCAGTGTGGTACTCGCTCAAGTGTGCAAACGTAGATTCTCACATCTACAAGTGCGCAACAGTCACACGCACTTGGGTTTTCAGTGCACTAGCCAACCGACTAACTTGGCTGGTGAAAGCACCCGTTTTCTCACTTTGATTCGGGAGTTTCGGCGTCGTCATAGAGAGGTTGTCGGGATAAAACCCTCTCCAGTTGTCTGGCAACGCCGCGCGTGGGGTGCAGCCATTGCGCCATCCCGGCCCATCCCTCGGCTCGGCGGCAGCCCGGGCCTCCGGCCTGGGCGGCAGCAACAACAAGCGCAGCATGGCGGCCGGACGGGTCTGGCGGCTGAGCCAAGGGAGGGGAGGGGCCCGCCGCCTCGGCGCAGTCAACCCATTTGACGGCGTCTGTGTATGGCGCACTCTAGGGCTGTCAAACACCGCATTAAGTGTTGAACCACCAGCACTGGTGCACTTACAAGTGTTTTTAAATTTCGTTGTTCTGCATGTACAAGTGTTCAAATAGAAACTGAACAGCACGCAGTTCATGCGTGCGGAACGGGCGTCTGAACTGCGTGCCTTTCAGTCTAAGGTATCGAAATTTCGTTGTTGTGCACTTAGAAGTGTTCAAATTTCGTCGTTGGGCACTTTGAAGTGTTGACCTCAATAATAGAGAAAAGTGTCGTGGGGTGGAACACAGTGGGATGAGTAGTTTTTCTTGCTTGAAAAAAAAATACATTTCATTACATACAATACATTACAATACATTACTATTCACTATTACACAGGAAAATGATAATTAGGCTATCTAGCCTCTACATGTTCTAAACAGTTTATCGTAACCCGCTTTCAATTATTTTATTTATTTACACTGGAAACGCAAGTGTGCGAATGTCGCACACTTGCAGGAGTGTGAATATTCATTCGTACACATAGGGGGGGTAAACGTGTGCATTTCTTAGGAAAAATTCACACGTTTACCCCTGTAAGTGTACGAATTGAATGGACATTCACACACCTGCAAGTGTGCGTCATTCACTCACTTGCGTTTCCATTGTATTTGGTATTCCAAGCACGTTAAAATTTGTGAGGCGTTGAAAATTTTCCTGCACAGTGCCGTGTTTCTTGACAGCGCTGGGGCCACACAATTACCAGACATGATAGGATGACGTCAGATGTGTCAGGCCGAGTCGAGTCCGTCCAGCGGGCGCGTTAGAAAAGCGCTCCGTTGCCTCGATGGGATTGAAAGAGAAAGGAGTGGCTTGTTGGTGTGCGTTTGTGGACGCGGCCCGGCCTCCAGGGGCACGAGGCTCACGTCCGGATAACGGAGGGCTGGCACACTCGAACGCGCCCCTTAAACGTCTGGGATGGACACAGCAAAAAATAAAGACCACGATTCGGTTTAAAATGAGCCAGTAACTAAACTTCCCTTTTTTGTTTGTTCCAGGCAATGGTGGTTACCAGCCGGGCATGGAGCCGAAGCGGCAGCGAACCGCCTACACACGGCATCAGATCCTGGAGCTGGAGAAGGAGTTCCACTTCAACAGGTACCTGACGCGGCGGAGGCGCATCGAGATCGCGCACACGCTCGTGCTGTCCGAGAGGCAGATCAAGATCTGGTTCCAGAATCGGCGCATGAAGTGGAAAAAGGACAACAAGCTGCCCAACACTAAGAACGTCCGGCGGAAGACCAACCCCGCAGGGGTCGTGACCACGGTGGCGGGCGCCAGCGGCACTAGTCCCAAGGGTGGCTCCAAAGCCCGTGGCAAGAACAACAACAACAATCGGAGAACGCAGAACAACAACAAGAACGGCATGGACAGCCCAGACGTCCTGGGGACGTCACCGATGGACCTGCCACCCGAGGGGTCGGCGTCAGCACCGCCGGGTCCTGCGAGTGGTCTCGGCGCGTCCCCGGACCTCATGCACCCCCTGGCCGCGCTAAGTCACAGTCTCAGTAACCACTCGAGGTCGCCGCCCTCGACGACGTTGTCGCCACCCGGGGGCCTCAAGCAAGAGCACCTCGGCGACGGCATGCACCACCCGCACCAGCAGCAGCAACAGCAGCACCACCTCATGGGCATGCAGCAGCAGCACCACCACCAGCAGCAACAGCAGCAGCACCACCAGTGGGGCAGACACAGCTCCGGCGGTGGCCTCCTCGCGGACGGAGGGGGCACGTCACCGTCCCTCCTGCACCAGCTCGGACAGCTGACTCCCCTCACCCCGGCCATGCAGACCTGCACCCCGGTCATCAAGTCTGACTACGGGCTCACGCCCCTATAGCCACCAGCCCCCGACAAGAGCTCGTACCACTGCCACCCCCTGTAGAGACGTCGTGCCCTGTGCCCAACCGCCCAGCCCCTAGCGCCTTCCACCACCCCGTGGAAGGAAAACGTTGACAATAATATAACGCGCAGGCATGATGTACGTCGGTGATATTTTGTTTTGTGTGTAGTCATGTCGATATTAACGATGTTTGTACATAGAACAACATTCAAATGTGATAATCTTTGATGTTTGTGGAATGTCATTTGAGAGTAAACTATTCACGAGTTGTAGTAGTTTGTAAAGTGATGTCTGTATGTGTTTGAATATGTGTGCCTAGGTGTTTAATGTACATAGATTTCTTTTCGTAAGAGTGCCCACTACCAGAAATAGCGAACAAGAATTATGTTAAGTTAGAAATCTGAGTCAATTTCTATTTGGCGGGACCGTAGACGTTACTTAACGTCACAGTAAATCAGTGTCATTTGTTTTGAAAAGCCTTCTCCCTACATCTCTCCCAGAAACTGAGTGGTTTTATACGGACTCAGCTTTTATCGGATTCTATTTTTTCGTGATAATATATTCTAGTTGAAAATGTTGTGTTCTGGAATAATAGGAGTCAAGTGTAGCACCATGTTCGATTTTCATGTCGAGTGTTGTAAAACATGAACTTTTTCACAATTTCGGAAAAGAAGAAAAATTACCCGACTTCAGTCAAACGGAGCACACGATCGTACAAACCTTAAACCAAAATATATAATTATTTCTTCATGCGTACGTAGAAAATGTACAGAAAATTACTTATGTGTAATATTTTTCGGTAAATAATTGAGGCTGGGAGAAATATTTAAATAAACTGTGAAGCAAGCAATCTGTACATTCAAGCATCTATTTAAGTTAGTTTTTTATGAAACTTCCTTGTGCCATCCCTATTTTTGTTTTAATGACTTTGACCTTGATTTCCACGGAGTGTTATTCTTAATGCTTGTAAAAGTCGTGATAAAACAGCTCAGTATTTTTACTCGGAAGTAAGTACTGATTAATTTGTGTCATAATGTGTATGTCTGTAAATTCGAAGTCACCCATCGCTTACTTTTAGTGATCGCAAGACTGGCGCACTCTGTAAATACACATTTCATTGTTGTCTGATTTATATTTGTTCCTTTCTGCAAACCTGCTTCTTTGCAGAATTCTATTAGTCATTTCGTTTATAGTTCGTTATTCCCCCTTCCCCCTACCCCAAAGTTACATTTTCCAACAACGAACAAAAAAGATGTGTAATGATTTTCTCCACTGCGACTATTTAAAGTGCCACAATAGAATAAGCCAGTTAAAATTTTATGTTTATTTTCATTGTGTCACATGCTTTAGGCTGAGGGTTAATCAGTGTAGAATAAAGTTATGTGCTATAAAACACACGTGTACTAAAGAGTGATACGCTGTCGGAATGGAGAAAATATTATAATAAAAATAAGCATCAAAACAGAGCTGGTCGTCCGTGCATTCCTCAGCCCTATTGTCCCCCCAATGTGTATCATAGTAAAGGGCCTAAGTGTGTGACTGACGCGGCCACGCCTCGCAGGTGTCTCACAGTCTACACTGCCGAGCAAAACAACAGCTATCCTGCCTCGCCGGGGCATCGACAGAGAGAGGTGATATTTGCGCCACATCCCTACACGTCTACGTGACTCCAATAACAGGGAGAGCGAGAGAAAGTCCGGAATCGGGAAAAGACACGACAACAACTCTTTCTTCTACACATGCCGACTTGTCATGTTTGTTTGACATGTATAGACGTGCCGAGCCCAATTTGACAAGCCTCTCGGCGCGCCGCGCTGAAATAGAGACAGACGCGAGGGACTTCTTCCGAAAAGAGGGACAAAAGAAGATATGATATCCCCTGGCGGTCGGCCGCGCGCCACTCCTGCCCACGCCACACCCTTTTCCTCGTTTTCCTCCGTGTCTTGTGTCTTCTGTCTCCGGCCGACACTATTTATGGTCCCGCAGAGTCGGTGCGGAGCAGCGCGGAGCGCATATCGTTTTTGTCTCTGCCTATTAGCGTGACGACCGCATCGACTATGCGTGAGAGTGAAACCGCGGTATTTTCAGAAATGTTATTATTTTGAAGAAGCTTGAATTTTAATCCATTGAAATTCAGTTCCTTTACTGAGCCCAATCAGGATCCTGATCTTCTAAGGCGAGCTTTATTCGGCTTCTTTTGTATCGTTGGCGTTGGAACGGCCATCCGACGACGCCCCTGCTCAGCTGCGGGGAGGCTCTACCTTCAGGACAGGTGCTGCGCGCAGAGAACAGAGAAACGGATAGAATCCTCCGCTGGGTGTGTTGTAGGGGCCCCGCTGGGCCTCTCTCTCTCTCTCTCTCTCTCTCTCTCTCTCTCTCTCTCTCTCTCTCTCTCTCTCTCACACACACACACACACACACACACACACACACACAC